GGGGGGGGGGCGGCGGTGATGTGAGAGGGGGACAAACAATAAGCACAAACTTACATTGTAGTAGCACCTCACACATGGAAGACCAAAAAGTATTTTCACTTTTGGAAATGCAGTTGCTGTTGTAATGTGGAGATGTGGCAGCCAGTTTGTGCAGAGTAAGAACCCAGAAGCCAAGTAGTAATGTTCAGATAATATGCTTCACTGATATTGGTTATACAATAAATATCAGTCCCAGGACTAGGAAAATCCAGCTTCAGATACTGTCATACAATTACTCTATTTGACTTCTCACTGAAATATACAACACGATGCTCCCCCCGGCACTGACCCTCCGACAGCGCGCCGCTCCCCCCGGTGCTGACCCTCCAACTAACGTCCTTCAGGGAAGAAAATCTGCCATCCTGGTCCAGTCTATATGTGACTCCAGACCCACAACAAGGTGGTTGACTCCTGACTGCCTTCTGAAATGGTTGAGCAAACCAATTGGGGCAATTAGGGATGGGTAATAAACACTGGCTTTTCCAACAAAGCCCACATCCTATTGAACAAATGCATGATGAATTCTCAGCCTTTCACCTGTTCTTGTTACAGGAGGCAGTCTCTTATTGGTCACTGCCAAGCATTTGAGTGGCATAATCTTTATTTGCCACTTGTCAGCCCGAGCCTGGAAAGTGGCCAGTTCTTGTTGCATTTGGATATGGACTGTTTCAGTATCTGAAGAGTCACAAATGGTGCTGAACATTGTTCAATCATCAGCGAACATCCCCACTTCTGACCTTATGATGGAGGGAAGGTCATTGATGAAGCAGCTGAAGGTGGTAGGGCCGAGGACCCTACCCTGAGGAAATCCTGCAGAGATATCCTGGAGCTGAGATGATTGACCTCCAACAACCACAACCATTTTCCTATGTGTCAGGTATGACTCCAATCAGGGGAGAATTTGCCGCCTGGATTCCCATTGATTCCAGTTTTGCTGGGGCTTTGATGCCACACTCAGTTGAATGCATCCTTAAAGTTAAGGGCTGTCACTCTCACCTCATTGGAAATCAGTGAAGATTAAACAGTGACCAACCCATTTTTAAATGGATTGAAGATGTTGAACAGCAGTTAGGATTACCCAGGAACCCAAAACAGCAGGTCAGAGAACCAACCAGACATGTGACAGTGTGGGGGTGGTGTCCTGGGCCTGTCAGTCTGATAGACTGAGGAGTTCGAGAATTCCAGGATCTGGGCCTGAAGTGATGAGCAGGGAGCCCACGGGGAGTGTGGACTGGCGGAGAACACAATGAGTGAGGGCAGACTGCTCTTGTCAGCAAAGTGAGGCCGCTCAAGGGTGACATCAGAAAGCAGTTCTTCACACATACAGCGCTGGGAATCAGAAACTGTTCCTCCCCAAAATGCTGCTGAAGTTGGGCGTCAAGTGACCATTTCATATGGAGAACAATAAATTGTCTTTCTCCTGGGGAGGGGCAAGGCAGGGAAATGGGTTTTTAAAACCAGCTTAGTCATTCTCTTGGATAGTAGGAGATGGCTGAAGGGACTGAATGGCCTCCTCCTGTTCCCATGAAACTGGGAGCTGGAAATTTGCCAATAAAAAACATGGAATTTACATTCATCGAAAGCAGCAACTGAACCCCTGGGAGTGGAACAACAAGATCACACCAGGCTAACACCTCAATTCATGGGTATTACCTTTCCATGGCCAGATCTCCAGGGCTTGAGGCCTGGCACAGTGCCATTGCATGGAGCTGCTGCTTCAAATCACGTCGCTGCACATATCGCCTCCACGCTGCCTGGATCACACTGGCTGCTCGGCATCTTCGCAAAGCTGACCGCAGGAGGTAGGAACGGAAATGCACCTGGAGAGAGTGAGCGAGCGAGGGAGGGGAAGAGTGGTAGGGGGATAGAGGGAGAGTGGGCGAAGAGAGAATGAGAGAGCAGGAGAGCGAGAGAAGGTTGGGGGGCAGGGGGGGGCGGGGTAGAAAGAGAGAGAGAGAGAGATATGAAATGTTACCCAGTGAGTGGCCCTTACCCTGCTGAATAAACACTGACCCTGTACGGTTACACAGTGAGTGGCCCTTACCCTGCTGAATAAACACTGACCCTGTACAGTTACACAGTGACCCTTACCCTGCTGAATGAACACTGTACCCTGTACAGTTATACAGGGTGTGAGCTGGGAATGTTGTCTAGTTTCTCTGTGCCTTGTTGTTGGACTGCAGGACTGGACAGAGTTTGCCTCTGTGCCATTGCTCCAGTTACTCAGTGTTGTTGTATGAACCAAGGCGAAGGTATTTGATAGGCTCAAGTACCTGGATAGTGGTTGCAGCTTGCCTGCTCTTCAGGAATCTTCTTCTATCCAGAACGGCCCGGAACCACGTCTGCAGGAGCAGGATTTTCCGGATCACTTCCTTGTGCAAAATATCCTGAAGTTTTTGGCGCTCGGTTTCCTTCATAAAAACCTGGGATGGAGCAGAGGGAAAGAGAGCTTGGTCAGACAGTAACACTTAACCTTGCACACATTGTTAACAGCAGAACAGGTTAGTTGGGTCTGAATCAAAATAAAACATTTTTCTCATTTGCGATTTTACTTTATTTCCCCTCCTCTTGAAAGGCCCTAAACTTTTCTGAATTCCTCCAAGAGTTGGCCTACTGTAAGTTCACAGACAGCAAGTGCTGGGAGCTAGCGTACATATTACAGTGGATTAACAGATTTCCAAACTGCTTCTCCAACGAGATCAGCCATTTAAACACAGAGGCTACAAAGTCAGTCAGAGGCTGGGAATCCTGCAGAGAGTAACTCAACTTCAGATTCCCCAGTCTGTTCACCACCTATAAGGCACGAGTCAGGAGTGTGATGGGATACTCCCCACTTCCCTGCAGCTCCAACAACACTCAGTTCATTTTGACTCAAAACATTAACTCAGTTTTTCACTCCACAGATGATTCCAGATGCTCAGTTTCTCCAGTATATTCTGTTTCAATCTTTCTTTATTCATTCACAGAAAGTGGGTGTCTCTATTGGGGCCCATTATTTCTTGTCCACCCCTAGTTGCCCCTTGAGAAGGTGGTGGTGAGCTGCCTTCTTGAACCGCTGCAGTCCACCTGCTGTGGGGTGACCCACAATGCCCTTAGGGAGTGAATTCCAGGATTTTGACCTAGTGACAGTGAAGGAACGGCGATATATTTCCAAGTAAGGATGGTGAGTGGCTTGGAGGGGAACTTGCAGGGGGTGGCGTTCCCATATATCTGCTGCCCTGTCCTTCTAGATGGAAGTGGTTGTGGGTTTCGAAGGTGCTGTCTGAGGATCTTTGGTGAATTTCAGAGCATCTTGTAAATATTACACACTGCGCTACTGAGCATTGGTGGTGGAGGGAGTGGATGTTGAAGGTGCTGGATGGCTGAATTCTTTGCTGCTTGCCTCAGTTACAGGTCATGCATTTCTTTTTGCCATGAATTTATCAGGGTTTTATTGTTTTTTTGCAGGATTGTTGCAATTTCCCTTCTTGAATGTGGTTATTTTGGAATCAGTTGGATTTGCTGAGGAAATTAAGATGCTACACTACCCTTGCTAACCACTAGATGGGGTACACACACACACTCAGACACAGAGTGAGGACCCCACGAGGCAGAATCAGTGAATGTGACAATGAATGATACTGACCCCCAAACCCCTAGGTCAAGGGTCACACTGACCCCCATGCCCCCAGGACAAGGATCATACTGACCCCCATAGCCCCACCGGTGTCAAAATGACCACCACACTTCACACTGACCCCACATCCTCAGAGCAAATAAGGGTCATACTGACCCTTTGGTCACACTAATCCCAATCAGTCTCCCCAGCCAGACCCTCTCAGAGTAGGGAAGGCTGCTGTGAAGAGGACATTAGGCAGGTCGTGGACAGATACAGATAGATTGAGTAAATGAGCAAAAACCAGGCAGATAGAGTATAATGTGATAAATGTGAAGTTGCTGAGTTTGAGAGGAAGAATAAAAAAGCAGTGTCACTGACACGGAGATTGTGGAATTTCAAGATGTAGAAGGATCTGGGTATTTTAGGGCATGAGTCACAACAGGTTAGTGTGCAAGTCCAGCACAGAATCGAGAAGGCTAATGAAAGACTCTTTTATTATCAGAGGAACTGACCAAAAAAAAATGTTATGCTTCAGCTGTACAAGGCATTGGTGTGACCACATCTTGAATACCATGCACAGTTTTGGTCTCCTTACTCACAAAAGGATAGAAATAAAGGAGGTTTATGGGATCGATACCTGGAATGAGTGGATTGTCTTTGGACAAACTGGGCTTGTTCCCACTGGACAACAAGGTGCAGAGCTGGATGAACACAGC